ATGACCAAACAACACATCTCATCCAAAAACTCAAAGGAAATCTTTCATTAACTTTGCTCTGTGGAGCACCTCATCATTGCAGATTTGTGTTTAAGTTTGTTCCCTCTCTAATTAGAGCACCCCCACCATGTTTCCACATCCCCCTGCACTATCAGCCTGAAGCTCCACAAGTTTCATAGTAATGATGCATCAACTACTCTCATGTCCACTTGACCTTGAACCTTTAAACCCACCAGATCAGCCTGTGGATCAGAACTGAGAGAATAATAATAACAAGTATGACTCACTTTAATTCAATTTTTTCTCTAGGAATTAACTAGCATCCTCTGAATTTTACTTCCATTCTGTTCTCATCCCAGTCTAGCTCTTCTCAGCTCTTGACCTTGCCACCCTTTGAGGCTGTGTTCCTGCCCTCTGTATTCACTGAATGAACTTGGTTTTCTGGGCTTGTCCCGTAGAGTTCCTAAAGGCTCTGCCTTGTATTCACTACTCTGGTTCACTGGTCATGATAGGTTCGGTCAAGCTATAGTCACAGACAATCCCTAGATCTCAGAGCCTTAACACAGCAAAACTTTGTCTCTCATTCTGTATGTCCAATGTGAGTCAGTCAGGGACTCTGCTCATTGTAGGTACTAAGATACCCAACCTGATGAAGGCTCCATCTTAACATCTGCTATATGATCACTGTGGTCAAAAGATGATGTGACATATAGTGTTCAGGCTCTTAAGATAACTTGTCTGGAAATAACACACATTGCTTCCATTCATATTTCATCGGCCAAAGTAAATCACATAAAGTGCAATTTACCATGAGTCTAGAAAAAACACTGAGGTATACATTATTGATTCTAACGACAGGAGCAAGACCCACTTGTTGTGGTTCATTCGCTTGTCACCCCTAGTCAAGGCCAAGCCCAATGCCCCAGTCCCCTCTGTCACTCCTTGTTCTTGAAAGAAACTTCTATTCCTTCACCCATATTTATTCATTCTACATTGGCTCTACAATATGGCTCCTGCTCTCTGCATTGCCCCTAGAATGAACTCCCTGGCATATCATCTCTACTTTTGCCTCTGATTCTGGTTTCTGGCTTCTGGCTTCAGGCCATGTTAACATGGAAGAGAGGTACTCTTCCTACATACCATACTTGGAACCCACCAAAATCAGATTAGTCCTTGTCTGCTTCCCTTCTGACAGGGGAGGTTTAGACACTCAGAGTCCCAGACTTGCAACTGGAGACAAATATCAAAGCCATGTCCAAGGAAGAATGCAAGCCAAGGCCGAGGAACTCAGCCAAATCTAGTCATCATGCAAAGAGCCAGAGGCAAGTAACAGGATCCTGAGACAAGGTCATGGAGCCAGGAAACATGAGAGTAAAGACTAGCAGAGAGGACGCTGCAAATAGAAACTCCATAAACATGGTCTCCTATGCACACCTTAAGGTTTTCTAATTAAATGTCTTTAATCAAAGCAACATGTTTTACAATATCAGTTGGTTTTCCCAGGCTTTTTTTATAACCAGGCTTTTAACAAAAATCACCCATTATCTTCTCTGCCCTTGAAGAAACAATTTTCAACTTTTTAATCTATTTCATATGTAAATACATATATTTCCTCATATATTAATAAATTGGTTACATATTTATTCTTGGATTTTTTTTTTTTTTTTAGTATTAGACTATTTAGTTCCACTGTGCAATATGAAGAATTGACTTTCTTATGCTACTCACTGCATATTTTTCTTCTATCTTCCCAGTGTGGTTATATCCCAAATTTTCCCAGTGTGGTTATATCCCAAATTTTGTTAAATCCATATTCAGTGTTAATATTTATATCTTTCTCTCTATTCTCTACTTCTAGAACATTTCTTATATTTTGTCTCTTCCATCAAATTTTCTTTTTATTTTGCTTTATAAGATATTTCCTTAACTTCATCTTCCAGCTCTTCTGTGGCCTTTACATCCATTCTCCTTTTTTAAATTAATAGTGGAACCCTGTTTTTTAATCAGAAATACTCTTCGAGCAACAAAAATGGAAGAAATATTTGCTAATTATGTATATGATTAGGGATTAATATTCAGAATATATACAGAATTCCTAAAACTCAAAAATGAAAAAAAACAAACCAAATTACAAAATGTGCAAAGGACTCTTATAAATATTTCTCCAAAAAAGATATACAAATGTCCAATAAGCACTTGAAAAAATGCTCAACATCACTAATTAGGACTGTGCAAACTAAAACTGCAATGAGATACCACTTCACACTCATTAGAAGAGCTATTGTTAAAAAACAAACAAACAAACAAACAAAAAACAGAAAATAACAAGTGTTAGTGAAGATGTGGAGAAATTAGAACTCTTGTGTGCTATTGGTAGGAATGTAAAATGTGCAGCTGCTGTAGGAAACCGTATGGCAGCTCTTCAAAAAATTAAAAATGGAATTACTACATGATCCAGCAATTCTGCTTCTGGGTATATATCCAAAAGAACTGAAAGCAGGGACTTGAACAGATATTTTACACCAATGTTCATAGCAGCATTATTCAATAGTCAAATTTTATTGGTAGATGAATGGTTAAACAAAAGGTGTTATATACATACAATGGAATACTATTCAGCTTTTAAAAAATGAAATTCTGTACATGCTACAACACAGATGAACCTTGAAGACATTATACGTAGTGAAATAAACCAGACACAAAGGGACAAATATGGTATGATTTTGGTTATATGAGGTACCTATAATAGTGAAATTCATAGAGACGAAAGTAGAATGGCGATTTTCAGGTGATGGAGGAAGGGAGGATGGGGAGTTATTGTTTAATGAGTACAGAATTTCAGTTTGAGATGATAAAGATGTTCTGGAGATGGACAGTGGTGATGGTTGCACATCAGTGTGAATGTACATATAAACTGTAATGAACTGTATACTTAAAAATGATAAAAGTAGTAAAATATATATTATGCATATTTGGCCACAATAAAAAGAAAAGAGATACTCTTCAAGAATGATCATTAATCACCATGGCAGCGCTGGGATGCGTGGAAGGGTTGGTGGACTTCTCTTATCTCTCTCTCTCCAATTGACACCATTCCCTATAACTTCATGACTGGTTGTCTCCTATCTGTTCCTTTAGACTTCTATTCTGCCTACCACCACAAAACATACACATGGCTACCTCCTGCCTTGTCTTTTGACTTCCAGTTTCCAATAAGAAGTCTTCTGTAATTATTAACTTTTTCTCCCTCTATATGTAATGGACCTTTTTTCTCTGTCTGCTTTTAAGATTTACTTTTTATCATTGGTGATATCCAGTAATGAAGTTATAAGAGACAGTGTCAGTGGTTGAGAAGAAAACAACAAGAGCCAATCAACTCTTCCCCACGTCCCATTGCTATCCTGGTATAAATCTTATCTTCGAAGAGTATTTCTGGTTATGCAATGACATGAATATGGACTTAAAGACCCTGATTTTCAAAGCTATGAAATCATGTAAACTCTTCTCTCACCATACAACTGAAGGCCATCTTAAGAAAAGAAGCAGTAGAGTATATGGGAAAGTTATATTGGAGACAGATTTTTTTTTCTAAAAGAGATTAAGTGTTTCTTCTAGGATCCATTTAAATTACTTAATCAGATAAAGCTTAAAACAAAAGCAGGCAATTCTCAAAGGGATCTATGCAGGCAATCCTCAAAGGGATCTATATCTAATGACACAAGTTGGAAATACATGAAACTATGTGACTAGTGATCCTGGTGTTGTGCAATGTAATGGCCCTGCTTACCAGCCTCCTTCCATTCTTCACATTTTCATCTCTGTTAAATGCTCCTTCCTCAGACAGCTCTTAAACTAACCATTCCACCCCAAATAGCCACTCCCTCAACCATTCCTTAAGGTTGATTTATTTTTCTTCATAATACTTAACAGCAACATGACATTTTATTGTTTATTAGTTACTTGTTTATTGTCATCTCCTTCACTAGAGAATAAGCATCATGGGTGCAGCTTTATTGTCTTATTCATAGCATATACCCAGAGTAGGTGCTCAATAATTTGTTGAATGAATTAATTTATTCATGTATTTGCTGTATATTATTTATATGAAGTATGTATTTAACATATTTATTTCATCTGACATTATTTAACTGTCGTTTTCATTTTTATCATTTATCCACTCACTGTGCAATCACTTACTAGGCTCTACTTTGTATTACGTATGTAGTTAGCATGAGGAGTGCGGAGAGACAAAGATGTTTAAAGTAAGACTTCCATAAAGAAATTCCCACTTCCTGAAGTATAAAATTCAAAGTCCTTAGCAAAGATTGGACACCCTAAATCCAAGAGGAAAATAAAGTTTTATGTTTTTAAAAGCAGTCGAGAGGTTAGGTTCGCTTCTAGAAATGTGTACGAGGCCCTCTGTTTCCTTCCAGTCCCTCCAAGGAGCCCAACTTCTCAAACTTCCCAGTTGTCCGCCAGAGACAACTCTTATCCTGCGTTGCTGAAAGTTCCTCCCTTGGTAATTGACAGCTGGGGGAAATCCCACTAAGGCCCGCCTTCCCTCCACGCCCCTCCTTGTTAGAATGAGTGGCGCATCCCGTGGGAGGGGCTGCTGGTTCAGCCAATGGAAGAAAGTGGGAGCAAGAGTCTTTGTAAACAAACGCAGAGGTGCAGCGCCTTGGGCTCCTCCTTCACGCGGGGGCAGTACGCCCAATGCTTTGGCCCAATGCCTATCCAGGACCAGCATAGCGTTCTTTCAGCCAATCAGAGCCGGTGTCTCCTGCAAGTAGGCGCTCCACCTGGAGGAAAAGAACGAAGGGAGCGAAAAGACAGATGTTAATACCAATCAGAAGCTGGAACTCCTGAGGGGGTGGGCGGGAACTACTTCACATTTAGACCAATAAACACCACACGTTCCCTTCTAGGTGACTGAGCGGCATCTTCTTCGGCCCAATAGACAAATAGGGCGGTGCCCAGCAACCAATGGCTTAGGTTCGGGGGCGGGGTGAGGAGCCACTGTGCAGTAAGAGGTAACCTGGCGAGTGGTACCAGCGCTTTTCGGTGCTGAGGCTCACGCTTTGGTACTAGAGGCCGAGAGTGTTCCGACGACGGCGACCTCTGCGGCAACGACTGAGGCTCTCGGCAGAGCGGCAGAGTACGGTCTGGAGGAGGGGCTTCTGGTCAGCCCAGGTGGGCTCGGGCGCCTGGGCTGCCAGGGAGGGGACCCACGGGAAGCGCCGCTCTCCCTGCTCTGGGGGCGCCCTGCGCCTCCCTTTCCGCCGCCTTCGAAGCTGTGAGGGGCGGCGCGCGACTGCCCAAGCTCCTGTTGAGAGGTTAAGCCGGCGGGTCCCACGTCGCGTCAGCTGGGTTGCCCCTCTGCCCCTTGGGAGCTTCGGGGATCTTAGACCAGCAAAAGCGCGCTTTTTCCCTCCTGCACCCCCCAACTACCCTGAGCCCTCTTATAACACTCCGACTGAAGTCTCTGTCTCTCGAGTCCCCTTACAACCCCGTTGCAACACTGCTAGGCAAATTGACCGGTGCTGCATCTCCGGTCCCCTTTACCCAAGCGGGAAGGGGGAGGAGTCGCGCATTTTTGCCCCTCCCCCAATCGCGAGCCCCCTTGCGTTATTTGCGTTTCTTCTATTCTTTCCATCTCTCCCTTTACTCCGGCCTTCTTTCTTGATACCTAATTTGAGTTAGGGACCTTGGCCACTTCTCTTTTGCCTTCCCTTCCGCGAGTGAGTCTTTTATCCTCCTCCCACCCTCTAAATTTCATACTCATCTCTCATGGAAATTAACACTTTCCACTTGTCCCTTCCAGGCATCTGGAAGGTGAACAGAAGAGAGGCAGAATACACTGTACAGGGAGCTTTACAAGGTTGAGAACTTTAACTGGTTTTGTTAATGACAAACCATTCTTGTCGCTTAAAATGGCATTTGATCATTATACCCTCTATAGAATCTTTGTCCCAGTACAGTTGTTTTGGTGATAATTTCTGAAAATGCAGGTGCGAAGAATTTACTGGCGGCAAAAAATTTAAAAAATGTATTATTTTTAAGTAGATAGAATTGGATTATATTTTAAACAGCTTAACTGGAGTGGCAGGTGTTTGCAGTGTAAGGGCCTGAGCACTCTAGTTTGTCAAATTATAAGACATGCTTTTAGCTGTACAACACAATGTAATTTGATGACATGCAGCCTATGGATAATATAGCACTCAATCTTTTAAAATAATATTCTCTATACCCCTTTCACAGAGAATTTGTATTCACCTTCATAATATAACAGTTCAGGTTTCAGTAGTGTTGGTTCTAGCCATATGTTTCTAGATAATAGTGCAAACTTTGTTGTGCCTAAATAAAATTATGCCAGGAATTTTATGAAGAAAAAGTAACTCACCACACTTAGTTTTGATTGAGACTTTCGAGTTTTGAAAATGTTAACCTAGGTATTGGGCAGTGAGGGTTTTGTTTTGGGGGACAGAGGAAATCGAAGTATTGGGACAAGCCTGATGGCCCTCAGGCTGTGCGTGAGGGAGAGGAGGGGGAGAGAGAAGAGAAAGGACGCAGGAGAAAATACACGTGTACAAAACCTTGTAGATTCAAACAATGTTTAGTTTCATGACTTTACATAAATTGGAACTGTTTTTCCTATTCTCAGTGGCAAATTGTAAGCAGTAAGTTTAATATCATGTCCACTGTGTTGTAGCCAGAATTTTGTAAGCTTTTGTGAAAAATTCTTACTGTTTTCCCTATCCTATTTGTGACTGCATATCAGCATGCTTCTTTGTATTTTGCTATGGTAAGACCATATCTTGTGTATAAAGAAGTAAGTCTACTGGAGTGAATTTATTATGAGGAGTCAGCATTGTCTAATGGACCATATGTTTGAGCCCTGTTAATAAATCATAATAAAAAGAGAAAGATCTTAAAGCTATTCCAACAAATGCCTAGGTGTTTAGAACAGTAAAAAGTATTTATGACAAAATTATTAGCAGTCATCAAAGAAAAGCCGTGGACAAATTGCAAATCCATAAGTTGGTCACTATCATGAGTTATTAAAGGCTTCAGTTGGAAACCAGTTATTTTTGTACAGTCTTTTCAGGTGGATTTATACTTATAATTACTTGTTTGCAAATTTAAAGGACTATAGTTATAATTTCTTCCTAGAGAACTTGCCTTTAAGGAGTTCACAGTTCAATGGAAGGGAGACCTATAAACCAAGAATTAAATGCAAAAGGAGAAGTTCTGCAGTACGGGATGATTACAGGACTCAGAGAAGAACAGTGGCCTGATATCATGCTGCTCTAGACTTTCTGTGTGCCATTTCTTGAACCTTCCTGTTTATTTCACACACCTGGGCCCCTCTCTGTAGGTGCTGTTTTCTCTTCTTGAAGGCCTTTTTTTTTTCCGCGTCATATGTACCTGGTAGGGTCCTAATTCAAAATCTTGAAGCTTGCCACTATACTCCACTCCATCCAAATAATTGTTATCTATATCTTTCTGTTATTTCATTTTAAATAATTACAGTTCATTCTCATTATTCACAGTAGTTATGGTCTATAGTCACCTAGATCACTAATTAGCAAATCTGAACCACTGCTCTTACAAAAAAAAAATATATATATACATATATACATGTCTCATAGATTATAATCTTAAATCCTAAATACGACTCATCCTGGTAGATCCTATTTTCCTTTTTATACAGAAGAGAAAATGAGGTTCAGAAGTGTTAAATGATTTGCCTGAGGCCACCCCTTAAAAGGTGCCAGAGTTAGGATTCAAACCCTGTCCTACTGGCCCCAGAGGCAGTGTCTTATGCTACACTGCACTGCCCCCTACCGTCTGTGTCCTTTAGTTATCTTTGTGTGAGAGCTGAAAGAAGGCAGAGCCCTGCCTTGTCCACCTCAGCTAGGAATGTAAGGAGTGACTCAAAATTTTTGCCATTCTGTGCATGTCTCTGAAATACTGCAGAAGTGTTACAAGTATTGATTTTAGGAATATGAATAAATTTTAGTGAGTAGGCGAATTCTCAAATACAGAATCCACAAATAACGTGGATCAACCATACTTGTAAATGACTCATGGAGTCTACTAGTCCACTGTAGATTCCTTAGCTTCTTTGACAGTTCGTTCATTTATTCATTTATTTAACAATTTTTATTAAACACTTACTATGAATCAGGTTCTGTTTTAGACTGTGGTGAACAAACTAGAGGTTAAATTCTTGCCCTTATAGATGTATTCAGGTAAGAGGGACAGACAGCTAACAGTCTGGATGGAGCTCAGAGGAGAGGTCCAGGTTGGAATTATAAATTAATTTGACCAAAATGAAACCTAGTGTGCGCCCTCTCACTTCACATCCCCTAGCATACTGACTTCTAGAACATTTCGGTTACGCTCTGTGCCTAAACACTTCTTTTTGAGTCTCTTTCCACTGACCTGTGTCAACCTCCACTTGCCATTAGTTTATTTTAAGGCCATTTACTCATGTAACTGGAAGTGTTCTAGAAAAATCAGGCTGAACTGATCTTTGATTTCTGGGTTTGCCACCTACCAACTTAGTAACTTTGGTCAAGCTGTTGAACTTTTAAGCCTGTTTCCAAATTTCAAAAGCGGTGATATGGTGATTAAGCCCTTGTGGGTTGCAAGGAAGAGGCACACATATATTACCCTTGAAGATGAGGGTTTAATGTAAATTTGAATGGGAAATCATTTCAGCAGCCATATTGTCCCTTGGCCCTAGTGCTTTCAAAACTTTATAGAACAATAACTTAGCAATGTTTAAAATAGGATTTGAGTTCTGGAGACCTACCTTCTTTTCCTTTGTTTACCCAACATTTGTATTTCTCAAGATAAAAGTATCTGAATGGATTGGTTTGTCACCAATAGGACTCCTATTAGGTAGAATTTTGAGCCAAACCATGCTCAATCTAGTCAAGTTCAATCCGTTAGTTAGGATTCTGAGTCCTGGTCCAGTCTTTTGTGGCCAAAGAAGTAGGACTGCTTTCATGCATTATCTGTTCTGAAGGCTACAGTATTTACAAAAAAGAATTCCTTGGAGACAGTTTCTTCAGAAGACAACTGAGACTAATGCAGTCCTTAGAATTTCCTGGACTTCTGTCCAATTCAAATACCTGTCTAACATGATCATAGATGATGCTTAATAAAGCACCTAACAAAGTAATTGACACTTCATAATATTCCGTAAATCTTCTTTTGGTGTTGCATTTAATATTACTGTAGTGTGGTTATTTGTTTATGTAGCTGTCTTCTTTCCTAGACTATGAGCTCCAAGAAGCAAGATCTCTTCATCCTTATATCCTCGGCACTTAGTTCAGTGCCTGATATATAGTACTAGATTTCTTTGATTTCTAGTGCCTTTGAATCTTTTTTATATGCTTATTGGCCATTTTTCTTGTGAGAATTGCCTGTTTCTCCATTGCCTATTTTATATCGAAGAATTTGTTTTTTTAAAGGCATTTTTAAGATTTCCTTTTAGGCTAAGGATATAAAACTTAGTTGTCACTGAGATTGCACATACATTCCTCTAGAAAGTAATTTGCCATTTAACTTTATTTTTGGTGTCTTGCTGAATGAAAGCATTTTTTTTTTTCTGTACTGTACTCACATCTATCCATTTTTTTTTAATTTTGTGACTTTTCACTTTGGTTGCTTGTTAAGAAAGATTTTTGCCCATCCCAAGGTTAAAAATATTTATTTAAATGTATTTTTTTTTACATTTTTAACCTTAATCTGTATGTAATTTATTTTTGTGTGAAGGTAGGCAGTTCATTTTTTATTTGCCCTCCACTCTCAGTTTTGAATGGCCGACTAGTTGTCCCAGTGATTATTCTTTATCCACTATTTGCAATTTAGCTTATAACAGAAACCAGATTCCTATTTCTGGGCTTTCTGTTCCATTGATATATTTATTTCTATGCTTAGTCTACACCGTTTTAATTAATTTTTAATTTCTCCTTATTTTTTGAAAAAATTCTGTTGACTATTCTTATGCAATTATTAGCTAACCTAAAATTAGAATCAATTTGTCAAGGTTTAGAAAAATTCTCTTTGGAGGTTATATCAGAATTTAACAACTGTAGATTAATTTACAAAGAGTTAATATTTTACAATATGCCCATTCATTTATTCAAGTCATTTTAAATGTCTTTCAGGAAATTGTT